CTTTCTTTTCTTTTCTCTCTCTCTCTCTCTCTCTTTCTTTCTTTCCTTTTCTTTCTTTCTCTTTTTTTTTTTTTTTTTTTTGACGGAGTCTTGCTCTGCCACCAGGCTGCAGTGTAGTGGCACTATCTCAGCTCACTGCAACCTCCGCCTCCTGGGTTCAAGTGATTCCCCTGCCTCAGCCTCCCAAGTATCTGGGACTACAGATGGGCTCCACCACACCTGGCTAATTTTTTTTGTATTTTAGTAGAGACAGAGTTTCACCATGTTGGCCAGGATGGTCTCGATCTCCTGACCTCATGATCCTCCAGCCTCGGTCTCCCAAAGTCATGGGATTACAGGTGCGAGCCATTGTGCCTGCCTCCCAGCTACCCTTCAGGCTGAGGTGGCCTGATCATCTGAGCCCTGGGAGGTCAAGGCTGCAATGAGCTGTGATTGCACCACTGCACTTCTGGGAAACCCTGCTTCAAAAAAGAGTGAGACCCTGCTGCAAAAAAAGAGTGAACCAAACTTTAAGTTGTCAATATGTCTTTATTTGTGTAGTTGTACTACTGTTGATTGATTTAATACATTTAAATTGGCACACGTAAAATAAATGAAGAACATGATGTAACATTTATTGAGTTTTGTCTCTAATAGAGGGCACTGAATAAATAAACTGGAATAATTTGCCTAAATTAATGAATGAATTTTCACCCTACCTTCATGTTCATCAGGGTAAATTATTTTGGTGGTCACATCTTTTTCTGTCACTGCTTGGGGCAGAAAGCCAAACTTCCAACACAGAGCAGATTTCTTGTATCTTTATGGGCAGATTCTAGGAAATGTATTACAATAAAGACAGAAGGCCACAGAGAAATTAGTAATACCTTATTCACAGATCAAACTTTTGATCCCAACTTTTCCCATCTGCTTTTCAATGCCGCCTGAAACAGAGTTGGTCACTAGGAAGATCTTACATCTTACAAGGTTGGTTGCACTTAAAACTAAACAGACTGACTATGCAGGCAAACACCTTTATTTAGATGAGGCAATATAGAAAGACAGCAGATCCAAGTCACCAAGAATGACCTGGGTTCAAATCCTACTTAGGATCTGCACATACGTGGGAGAGTGATATGAACCCCTCTGTGCCTCAGTTCCCTATTGTGAGATGTGGAAATGTAAGTATGCTATAGATGTAAGGTCTATGCTATAGACCTACTGAAGTGTATAGGGCTAAAAGGAATGAAATACAGATACAGCGTTAAGAAGACTCATGCTTCATAAATGCCCAAGAGTGTCCAATCATTGAAAGTCTGGAAAAATAATCCTGATACTCGGTAGTGTTTGAATACAGAGAGGGAGCTTGCATGGCTCCCGGGCAGGGGAAGATGGAAAGTGACTTCACCCTTTGTGTGGCATGATGCTTTTCAGCTCACGGAGATCTGTGATTTCCCGTGACCCCCACATTAGAGCGAGGGGATGGGCAGAACAGGGGCTACAACTTACATTTTCCAGATCAGCAAATTAAAACTATGACATTTTGAGTGACTTACCTAGAGATATAACAGCGAGGAGTGGTAGATATGGGTAGTTGCTTCCCTGGGGACAGAGACCCCCTGAACACCTGAGTCCTCTAGATCATGCCCTGGACTCTGAACCAAGAGCTCTTCTCACAAGGTTTATCAAATCCTCCTGACCCAACATTTCTTCAGGAAGGCTGTGTCCTGGAAGAGGTGGGAGAACCAAGAGAAGAGCTCACATCATAACACAACCTCTTGCCTCCAGGTTTCTATCCCTGACATAAAGTCTCAGTTTTCTGCAAACAAAGCCTCTCTGAAAAGTAGGTTCAAATGTCTGACCTCTTACCTCAGCATCTTCTCACTGTCAGCTGCCCGGTGGTGGGCAGTTAACTGCCATCAGTTAATGACCCCACATGCCCAGGGGTCAGCTTGGCTCCCAAGCTGGCTCAGAACTCAGGACATTCCAGGTCAACTGTCACATGATGGCTGTTCCAAGAAGCAATTTCCCTTCCATGAACCAAGCCTGGATGAGAAGTTAATAGGAATTAACTGAGGTTGTGGCCTGCTGGGCTGATGACATGATGGTTTAATAAATTAAGTCAAAGATCTCTATGACAACAGTCATAGAGGATTTGAAGAGAACACAGGTCATGACTGAGGTCTCACTGCTGATATCTAGCCAAGTGTGTTTTTACATGGATAAGTGTGTCACGTATGGTTTTAAAACCTCAATCCCAAACCCACACATTATTATTTTCTGTTTATGAAAACAAATAATGAATTCTCATCTCAGCAACTGTGTGAGCAGCCTGAACTAAAGGCCTGGCTGAGAATGGGAGGCAACTCTCCAGCACTGAGTGTCCACTGTGCAGTCTTTATGCCTACCTAGACCCTGCCCAGTTAAAGGTAAGGGTCCTTGTTACTCTCAGAGGGACATAGTTATAGCCTGGAGAACCCAGCCCAGCACCTTCCTGAGAACCATGCAGGCCCACCTTTCCTCTGTCACCAAATGTCTATTCCACTAATCCAATGCCATTGTCCCTTCTCTCCACTTTCCCAGGCATCATTCAAACAGCCAGTGATCTTGTCTTTACTGGCATCATGGTAATTTTCCCATGAAATTCCAGTTTCTTGCCTTTCTAAAGGCCTCTGAACTCAGATGGCTCTAACATGTGGTTTCAGATGTTGAAATCTACATTCAAAAGAGTTTGGCTTTTAATTACTTTTTTCCTGGAAATTCTATAGCTGTGTTTGGTAACAAGAATCTCCTGACCTGATGAAGGCAATACAGGTGTGTTTCTACTGTCATCTGTTCTCCAGAAGAATGTCTACAAAGTTGGCATTATAAAATAGTCCATTTTTGGATAAAGAAAATGTGGCATATACACACCATGGAATACTATGCAGCCATAAAGAAGAATGAGTTCATATCTTTTGTAGGCACATGGATGAAGATGGAAACCATCATTCTCAGCGAACTAACACAGGACAGAAAACCAAACACTGCATGTTCTCATAAGTGAGAAGTTGAACTATGAGAACACAAAGATACAGTGAGGGGAACATCACACACTGGAACCTGTCAGGGGGTGGAGGGCAAGGTGAGGGAGAGCATTAGGATAAATACCTAACGCATGCAGGGCTTAAAACCTAGATGACGGGTTGAGGGGTGCAGCAAACCACCATAGCACATATATACTTATGTCACAAACCTGCACATCCTGCAACCGTATCCCAGAACTTAAAGTATAATAATAAAAAAAGTGAGAACCTAAAAAAATAAATAAAATAGTACATTTTTCTTTATAAACTGAGGAACAAATTTAAGGCAACTAGCTTGATAGAAGGTTTTAAAACATAAAGAAAGCAATACAATGAAACTATCCAATACATTTATAAATCTGTAAATGAAATGTGGGAGAATGGAAAACATATGAAGACAATATTTTGAGTACAAGTTACCTGGCCTGTTTGAATAAACAGCAGTTTATTCAATAGGAACATACCGCCCATGGAGCAATGTGCATTTCCCATTACTGTAAATAAAATTGTCTTCCGAGACAGTGAATATGCGTGAACAGCAATTTCTCCACTTGCAGAATGATACTTGAAATGAAAGGCAAGAAGCATACCCCGCATGACCACGGAGACAGGTCATAGATGATTTCAAGTGAACACAAGGCATGATAGGGGTCTCACGGCTGCTGTCTAGACAGGTGTAATTTTACATGGACAAGTGTATTATTTAAGAGCACATATTTGGTTTTAAAACCTCTCTCAAACCCACACATTATTATTTTTGTTTGTTTATGAAAACAAATTAAATGGGAAAAAGTGACCTGCCCCCTCATGCAAATGCCATTCCTACCCATTTCTACTATTCCTGAGTCATCAGACATTTCTAGATCCAACAGTTCAAAATTTTTTCCAGAATTTTTTTAATAGTAGAAACTCTGTTTTAAAAGTTTGTGACCTCTTGTAAGAATATAATGATGAAATTATATCAATCTACTCATCACCTATGTAGATTGACTACCTTTTAATTTTTTGTATGCAACTAAGTCTATGTACTCAATTCTCTGCCAATCTCTGTGAGTTCCTTGAGCAATTTCTGTCATTGTATATGTAAAACACTATTATTTGAGTCATTGTTTAAAAATAATTGCTATAGGCTGGGTGCAGTGGCTTACGCCTGTAATCCCAGCACTTTGGGCATCCAAGGCAGGCGGATCACAAGGTCGGGAGATTGAGACCATCCTGGCCAACATGGTGAAACCCTGTCTCTACTAAAAATACAAAAATTAGCTGGATAAGGTGGCATGCACCTGTAGTCCCAGCTACTCAGGAGGCTGAGGCAGGAGAATTGCTTGAATCTAGGAGGCGGAGGTTGCAGTGAGCCGAGATCATGCCACTGCACTCCAGCCTGGGGACAATGTGAGACTCCATCTCAAAAAAAATAATAATGACTATATATTCCCTGTCGGTTGATGAAAAACATACAATTAATGCTTTTCTAAATAGAGAGACCTAGATAACCAATACTCAGACTTATAATTTTATGCCCAGTCACAATCATTTTTACGACCTGGTCATGATTATTAGCTACAGAAATGGAATTGACAAGCCCTTAGAAACACATATGAAGTGAAAAGTTTAGGTTATAAAAGAGAGTGTTGCCATGTCTAAGACAACGTTTGTCCCCTCCAAGATACGAAACACTTCAATACAAATCTTCATCATTGCTGATTTATCTCAAATTTCCAGAACTAATGAATCAAATGGATCATTGACAAGGTATCAAAAGTGCCCTAATATATATGGTGCCATATTTTCTGCAGGGATTGTCCAGTTCAAGGACTCCTTGAGAGGACAGAGGACAGAACAGTGGTATTACATTGTACTAAGTGAAGGATTTTTACCTTTAAAATGCAGCGATGAGTTAAAACAGAGAGAAGTCAATCAATATTTCACATATGTAACATTTATAGCCAAAGGAGACACTGCCAACAGTTGCCACTACATTGGGGATTTCTCTTTGCCTGGAATTCGGGTGTCTTTTATGAATAATCAAAAGCAACGAAAGCTAATGCTAACCAGCCAGTGTTTTCAAACCAGAAAAAAAGATAAAAAAGAGACGTTTGACCCTACTCAGTTTCAAGATTGTATTATCCAAGGCTTAACTGAAACTAATACTGATTTGGAAGCAGTAACTAAGTTTCTTGATGCTTCTGGAGCAAAATGTGATTACCATCGATATGCAGAAACACTCGTTGACATTCTGGTGGCTGGTGAAATGCTGGCCCCAAGTGGTACAGTGGCAGATGACATGATGTGTACAGATGTCTGCGTGTTTGCAGCCCAAGAAGACCTAGAGACCATGTAAGCACTTGTTCATGCTTTTCACAAGTTAATCAGGTGCTACAAATACCCGAAGAAAGGTGTTTTTTTTGTTTTTTTTTTTCTTTTTTTTTTTTTGAGATGGAGTTTCACTCTTGTTGCCCAGGCTGGAGTGCAATGGCACAATCTCAGATCACTGTAACCTCCGCCTCCCGGGTTCAAGTGATTCTCCTGCCTCAGCCTCCCGAGTAGCTGGGATTATAGGCATGCACCATCACGCCCAGCTAATTTTGTATTTTTAGTAGACTTGGGGTTTATCCATGTTGGTCAGGCTGGTCTTGAACTCCTCACCTCAGGTGATCTGCCCACCTCCACCTCTGAGTGCTGGGATCACAGGTGTGAGCCACCACGCCTTGGCCTGCTGCTGCTGTTCTTAAAGGGTTTTTCAGAGTCATGGAGAAACAAGCTGGCTATGTTGACTGGTGTTCGTCTGGCTAATGGAACAATGCCCCCATTTTTAATAGCCTTTATAATGAGAATTTGGTTAGAGACAGTGTTTCAGCAGCTTTTACTGTGAAGCTCTTTGAATCATGAATAAATAAAAAAGATATCAATGCAGTAGCTGCAAGTCTTCGGAAAGTCAGCGTGGATAACAGACTGATGGAGCTTCTCTCTGTCAACAAGCAAAGCATCGAACACTTCACAGAGCATTTTACTGAGGCAGGCTTGAAAGAGCTTTCAGAATATGTTCAACATCAGCAAACCATCGGAGCTCATAAGGAGCTCCAGAAAGAACTTCAAGAACAGATGTCCTGTGGTGATCCATTTAAGGCTATAATTTTATATGCCAAGGAGAAGATGAAAAAAAACCCAACGTCAGAATCAGTTGTTACGGGAACAGTCTGGTGGAGTGGAATGAGCACCGTGGAATGGAACAAAAGAGGAGAGCTTGTAGCGGAGCAAGCCATCAAGCCCTTTAAGCAATACGGCCGTCTATTGGAGATAATGACCTTTGAAGCACCATGGATGCCGCTGGAGGCCATTGTCTTAAGCTTAGAAATATGCAGGAACAGAAAAATACCACAATTTCACTTACAACAGGGAGCTAAGCATTGGGTACACATGGACATAAATACAGAAACAATAGACACTGGGGACTACTACAGAGGAGAGAGAGGGAGAAGGCCAAGCTGAAAAACTACCTATTGGGTCCTATCTGGGTGAGGGGATCATTCATACCCCGAACCTCAACATCACAGGGTATACTCATGTAACAAACCTGAACATGTGCTCCTTGTCTCTAAAGTAATAGTTGAAATTGTAAATAAATTATTTTATCTCCTTATAATAGAAATGAAAACATGGACACCAAAATTTAAAAAAAAGGGTTCATGAGAGGAAAATGAAAAAACAGTGAAGGGAAGGGGCATGCGCCCTTCAGAATGGACCTTCATGAATGTGCAGTATCTTCCTCTGGGGCTCCGTTTTGATAAAAATATGTGCAATGGCCAGGCACGGTGGCTCACACCTGTAATCCCAGCACTTTGGGAGGCTGAGATGGGTGGATCACCTGAGGTCAGGAGTTCAAGAACAGCTTGACCAGTATGGCAAAACCCCCTCTCTACTAAAATACAAATATTAGCTGGGTGCGGTGGCACATGCCTGTAGTTCCAGCTACTTGGGAGGCTGAGACAGCATAATCACTTGAACCTGGGAGGCAGAGGTTGCAGTGAGCTGAGATCACACCACATTACTCCAGCCTAGG